GGTTCATGCCTCCAGGTTCCTGCCTTGACTTTCTGCCCTGATTTCTTCAGTGATGGATTGTGACCTGAGAGTTGTAAGGTGAAACAAGCTCCTTCATCCCCAAGTGGATTTTGGCCAATGGTGTTTTATCACAGCAATAGAAACTCTAAGACACATGGTGTGAATTCATTTCTGTTTGCCGGATTGTGTTACTTTTGAAAGTCATACGTTTAAAGACTTCTTCCCTGTGTGTTGGGAAATGGAAGGCCTGGCTCCTCACAGAACAGGACCCAGAATTCCATGTTCACAGATGACACGTGGGCCTCCTGTGTTCTTTGGCCTCTATTCCTATGTCTAGCTCAAGGACACAGATAGAATGGACCCAGGATGCCCCAATCTGCAGCAATATCACCAGTAGGGACCCAAGCTGTCTGTCCTTTCCCACGGGACACAGTCAGCACAAATGGATGGCGAAACCTGGGATGACAGGACAGGGCAGATGGAGTGAAGCTAGCACTCTGTACCCAGGGGAGTGGAGGACCCAAGGCCACACAGGGGAGGCACTGTGGGACTGGATGCTAAGCAGCTGTTCTGTAGGGCATAGATAAGGGTCCAGTGCAGCCTTTAGTGTCCTGTTTGAAAATCTCAGATGGGAGTTCCTGGAAGAATGAGGGCCGTCTCCTTGGGGTGCTGTGTCTGCTGAGGCAGAGTCTAGTGACCAAGGACAAAATCAGGGACCAGAGTCTACATGCCCCCCCTCAAGCCAAGAGCCTTTCTGCTGTGAGCCTGATTATTGTCACACTAGGGGACCAGGACAGATGTGAGCTCTGCCCAGAACTCCAAATCCTAAGGCAGCTGTGAGGATAGTGAGTGAACTGTCTTGTGGGATGTTGTAATGATCCCCATCATCATAACCAGGCTTGGAGCTCCATCTGGAGAGAGACCATAGATGCTGGCAAACCCACCCTGGTCTAGATCTCCTTGGGACAAGGGGAGAGGATATCATGGTGACTCCACAGATGAGGAAATGGAGGCTCTGGAAGGGCCAGGCTCACAAAGTGTGCACCCCAAGCAAGAAGCAGAACCAGAGTCAGGTCCTGCTTGTCCAACAGGTAAGCATTAGGTGTGAGCAGGAGTGTGAACAGGAGTATGGGCAGGAGTGTGGCAGGAGTGTGGGCAGGAGTGTGAGCAGGAGTGTGAGCAGGAGTGTGGGCAGGGGTGTGAGCAGGAGTGTGGGCAGGAGTGTGGGCAGGAGTGTGGGCAGGAGTGTGAGCAGGAGTGTGAACAGGAGTGTAAGCAGGAGTGTGGGCAGGAGTGTGGGCAGGAGTGTGGGCAGGAGTGTGAACAGGAGTGTAAGCAGGAGTGTGGGCAGGAGTGTGGGCAGAGGTGTGAGCAGGAGTATGAACAGGAGTGTGAGCTGGAGTGTGGGCAGGGGTGTGAGCAGGAGTGTGG